CTTGGGCAAGTCACTTTCCTCCTCCGTCTCCCATCGTCCTACTCCGGCCTGGGGCAGGGGGAGAAGGAGGGCAGGGGGAGGGGGGGGAGAGGGGAGGGGGAGGGGAGGGGGAGGGCAACAATACTGCATTGAGTTGTTTCCAGTTAAAACCAGGACGATGCACCTCTAGGCCAGGCCAGCCTCACCTGGAAACTCCTGACAAATGAAGGAATTCCACAGTGAAGCTTACCTTCCCACTCAGCACAATGGGCCAACCCCCAGGCAACCCACCATTCCCCCCAGATAGTTCACCTTCGCCACTGCCAGAGGTCCTTCTGGGAGATGGGTGGGTTGGATGGCGTTAGCATTCTCTATAAAAACTATGACATAGATAGATGGATAGATAGATAGATAGATATGGACAGATGATAGACAGGTGATAGATGATAAAGTAGGTAAGCATTCACTAGATACATATATGGTCTATTGAGTATATATCATATGCCAGTGCTTTCCATACTTTATTTCTAATCGTCATATGACTCTGCAAATTAGGTTGGCAGACTGCTTTTACAAACAAGACCGAAGTTCTGGGAAGTTAAGTACTGGGGTAAAGATTACGCAGCCCATAAGTTATGAGTCAGGATTTAAGCCCAGAACCCCGGTCACTCTGTTGCCAAATCCCATGTGTGCTCAGAATTGGGGACCTGGTGCCCGAACTCCCACAGCTCTTTGATGGCTGTGCCTTGCCTTCCCTCCTCCTGCCTCTCCCTTTCTCCTGTCACCCCTCTCCTGGTGATATTCTTGTGGAATTCTAGAATGTCAGAATTGGACATTGAAGCACAGAGGAGGAAAGTGACTTGCCCAAGGTCACACAGCAATTCCATGAGAGAGTCAGGGTTAGAGCCTTGTCCATCCAGCTGAACTTGAGACTATTTGGTGGGTGGGCACAGCTCTGCTCCTCCATCCACTTGACTGGACAGTGACCTCCCTGCTGCCCAGTGAGGTCTCACTTCAGAGGTTGTTTCTCTCCTGACCTGATTCGTCCCATCCCGGCCAGCCTGCTTGTTAGAGGCGGAGGTGTCTAGGGCCGGATCAGCAGAAACACAGGCTGGAGAAGTGCTAAGCGGGCTCCTCCAGACCACCAGCTGGAAAGGGCGTCTCTCCTCGGGGTGAGGCAGCAGGCACTCCGGCACTGCAGCTTAGCGAGCCAGAAGTCGGGCAGGCCTCTTAGTCGTGGAGTCCAGCCTCCAGGCTTGCAGCTTGGAGAAGCCCTCAGGGAGGTGCCTGTCAGTTTCTCAGTCACTTATTCATGTAGGGGTTCTGAGGGTCCCCATTATAAAAAATGACACCTCAACTTTGTGAGCACTTTACTAAGTGCATCCAAGGAGCTTGGTAGGTTTTCCCAACAATCTCCTGGTTCAAGATCCCTCAGCTAGCAGCTCCCAGGGCTAGGATTTGAACTTGATCTTCAGACACCTAATCCAAGTATCATTATGGCTGCTTTTGTTTTTCAATAAATTCTGAGGTTTATTTAAGAAACAGCACAGAGAATCACTTATTGCCAAGTTACTAAAGGTAATACTGATTACTGCTATTTTTAAAAAATTTTTATTGGAGTATAGTCGATTTGAAATGTTGTGTTCGTTTCTACTGATGGCTGCTTTTTATTGCACAAATAAAGCCTATGCACTATACTCAGTACTGAACAAATATCACTGTATTTATGTTTCACAAGATGCCATAGGATCAATACTATTAACCCATTTTGCAGGCAAGAAAACTGAGTGAGGCTCAGAGATATGAAGTGGCTTACCTACATTGCACAGTCAGTAAGCTTTTTACACCATAGTACAAACTTACCTGGGGGGTGATAAAGTTGCCTTCTTCAAGGAGCTTCTGATCTGACAGAGGGAGGGGATTAGAACTGGGGGAAAAGGCAGGGCCCCAAAACCCATCCATGAGATGACTGAGGACTTCATCTCATCTTGAGGTTTTCTATCAAAGGTCATCACTGACGTCACCATTGTCATTCAAACAAAACCTTGTGTTTGCTGTTCCCTGATTTATTGCCAGGAGTCATGCCAAATGTTTGACACACTTTACCTCATTTAATCCTGACACTATTCCTGCAAAGTAGGTACTAGCATTCTATGTAACTGAAACAGAGAGGGTCAGATAATCTGCCTCAGGTCACACAGCTAGTCAGTCAGTGGCAGAGTGAGACTTGAACCCAGATCCAGCTGGCAGCACAGCGGATGCTGGGAACCACCATGCTTTAACTTCTGCAACCTTTTTGCGTGCATTTGGTGTGTGCCAAGTTCTGCTCTGAAGCTGCCTTGTTCTCCAACAACAGGACAGATATAAAAGAGCAAGCGGATGGCCAGGGGGCCACTCTGCCCCACGCTGTGCCCTTCCCAGACCTGACTGGGCCAACCAAGCCTGGCAACAACAGAACCACAAGGTCCCTGCCGTGACTGCGCCTGAGTATGTAGCAGCCACACTGAAGTGACAAATGACACCAACGAACTCTCCTCTTCCTGCCCACCTGGCAGCGTTTGCTCTGTGATAGCATCTTTTTGGCCACTTTGTTGTCGTGCTAAAATAGACATAACAAAAAATTTACCATTTTAACCATTTTTAAGTGTACAGTGCAGGGGCCATAAGTATATTCACATTTGTGTGCAACCATCACCACCATCCATCTTCACAACTTTTTCATCATCGCAGACTGAAACTCTGTACCTACCCGATACTAACTCCTCATTTCCTCCTCCCCGTGGCAAACACTCTTCTACTTTCAGTCTATGAATTTGACCACTCTGGTACCTCATATGAGGGGAAACACACAATATTTGTCCTTTTGCTTCCTGCTTATTTCACTTAGCATAATGTCCTCAACATTCATCCAAGCTGTAACGTGGGTCAGAATTTCATAAAAATATGGAATGCTTCACGAATTTGCATGTCATCCTTGTGCAAGGACCATACTAATCTCTTCTACATCATTCCAATTTGAGTATGTGTGCAGCTGAAGTGAGCACCATCATAGCAGTTTTAAGGAGTTGGTGCCACAGGTGACTTTGCCCCTGCATGGTGCCCCTGGGAAATTATGGATCTGCTAACTGGGCAGAGTTGTCTGATCAGGTACATCACTGGATGGCACTGATTTGGCGTCTGCCGGTGGTTCTAGTGCGTTTGGAGGCGGCTGGTGGGGAATCTTCATTTTGTTCACTCCTGTGTTTACAACGAGGTATAATTGGTCTGACACCTTCTGCATTTCTTCTGTAAGTGATGAATTGTTGTTATTGAGCAAGCTTTTCTCAGATCCTTGAGGAGATAAATGGCAACGATCGTGGCCATCGTTGTCGTCACAGGTGTACTGAATGGCCCTGGGAAGGGAGAGGAGAGGGCAGTCATGTTTTCCCCAGCACACTTAATGTCTCGCATTCAGCACAGGAGGTTGGGACCTCTAGCCCCATTTCATACATGAGCAAATTGGGTTCAGAGAGAGGAAAAACTGACCCCGAGTCACACCGTTGGTCAGGGGCAGAACCAGCCTTCGAAGAGAGATTTCTGTCAGATCCCACATTTTTTTTTTTTTTCCTGTGATGTGCCCACCCAATCCTTGGGGCTTGGGAGCTAAGGACAATTAGATGCAGGAAAACGTTCCACATCCATAGAAACTTGGATGAGGAGAAACAGAGAGAGAGATAAAGATATACAGAGAGAGAAAAAGACCTGATGAGGGGAGGGGACCTCGCCTGGGTCGGCTCAGCCTATGATGGTAGAAACGTTGCTTTAGGGGACAGAATGGGAGCAACGTGGCTTAATTGCAGCTCTGGGGAAATCACAGGGTGTTTCCATTAGCCACCTGCTCAGTGTGAGCCACCGAGGTGATGCAGCTTCCAGAAAGTTCCGTGTTGTCTTGGGTAGGGGGCCTCAGGAGAAGCAGGACGTCTGGTTGGGGGAACGTGACTCTGTTCTCCGGTTCAGACTCTGCCCACCGCCCCCATACACTCAGAGGAGGGCCAAAGACAGATTGGCGTGTGATCAGTGAGGAGCAGCTGCAAGGCAAGCTGGAGAGCGTGTCCCGAAAAGATGGTGGGAAGGAATGGAAATGTTCACTCTGGAGAAGTGGAAACTCAAGGGGGGGGGGGGCGCGTGAGGGAGCTGGTGCACAATTTGGGAAGCGCTGAAATGTGTTCAAGAAAGAAACACCTTGTCCCGGGTGTCTCTGTGGGGTTGAGTTGGGGCCGGTGGGACCAAGCAGCAGCCATCAGACCATAGCAACGTGAGCAGGGATTCTGAGCAGCTCGGAGATGCGCGAAGCTGGGGGATGGGGGGCTGCCTGGCGTGTCCCTGGAAGCGTGTGAGTGGAGCGCTGACAGCCAGGGGGTCGATGGGCCCCCTCAACCCGGCTTTCCTGTGGTCTGTGAGTGGAGATGGCACAGGGGGAACTAGAAAGAGCTGGCGTCATCTTGGTGGGTCAGCCAGAGAAGTGCTAGGCTGGAGGGCAGGCTGAGGCCAGCAGAAGAGACAGACCGCCAGAGCTCAGCTGGCTGGCCCCTGAGCTGGGCTGTGTACCTGCCTCACTAGCCCGTATTTAATCTAACCTCACGCTGCGGGATTCATCTCCATCCCTGCTGGGGCCAGATGACTCCCTCAGTCAGAATCACTACATATGCTAAGCTCGCGATGGACCAGGCATGGTTTAAATTACAGGTACTGACTCATTTCGTCCTCAGAGCAACTCTGTGAGGGAGGCCCTATCATCTGTCCCCCTTTACAGAGAGGTTAAGTGGCTTGCCCAAGGTCACACAGCCGGTAAGCGATGGCACTGGGCTTTGAACCCTGGTGGTCCAGTCCCAGGCTCACAATCTCACTCCCGGCTTTATCCCATTGATGAAGGAGCATCATGGAACAGGATGGAACTTACTCTGGGGAGATGAGTGAAGAGGCAGCCTGCTGGGGCTTGGCTCACTTTGGTTGAATTTCTAGTAATCCCTTCATTCACTCAGCCAGGGCTGGACTAACATTGTCACCACATTTCTTCTGAAAAAGACTTTTGGAGCCACACACAGGGGGGAACATGTCCTGCTGCTGTGAATGTTGAAGCCACGATGTCTCCTATCAGCCCAGCCAGGATCCAGGTGCTGCACACATCTCCCAGGGTCTAGCTTGCATGAGATTTGCCAGCCACAAACCCTCGAGACCTGGATTTCCACTATCAGAGATACATTACTTTTAGTTCAGCATCACCCACCCTTTATATAACAAACCCTCCAGTGGAGTTTACTGTGTGCCAGACACTGACCCGGGTTCCTTATGAGTCATGACTCATTCAAACCTCATAATAACCCTATAGAGATTATAAATGCCCCATTTTTTCCAGAAATAGTATATTTCTAGGAAACTAAGGCACAGACAGGTAAAGGAATGGCCCACAGTAAGTGATTACTGCTAGGAAGAGGCAGAACCAGCGTTTGACCCCAGCAGTCTAGCTCGAGACTCTGTGCTCCTCACCACCGCCCTCTGCCGCCTCTCTTTCTAATGGTCACTGTTCCTGAGAGGGGTGACATTCATCATGGTGACTGGATTTATCAGGGAGTTTTCTTAATAGAGACTTACACAACAGAAGTACAAGGGTAACTAGTAGATGCGAAGTGGAAAAGCAGGAACAGGGTATAGCAATGGAGGACCAGAGGGGCCCAAAGGCTCCGTTTGGCCCAGGGCTGGCCCAGCCTGTGGACTGTGGGTAAAGGGAGGTGGTACTGCCACAGGACAGAGTCTTGGGAAGGGGCTGGACCACAGGATGAGTGGGAGGTGGAGAGAGCACTCCTGGGGGGCAGACGAGCTTGAGTCAGGCCTGGGGGAGCCCCAGAGAGACCCCACTGAACTTGGAGGCCCCAGGAGTCGGGGGAAGCTGGAAGAACCAAAAAGAAGGGATGAAGCTGTCCAGCGTCATGGAGAGAACGCCTGGGGAGACAGAGAGCGCAGAGGCCCGGACTGAAGCCTTCAAGACCAATTGTCCTGGCGCGGGAGCTGTCCCGGAGCTGGACAAGCCTCCCCGGCCTGGCCCATCTGTTCGGGGTGCCAGGACTCACATAGGAAATGGCAGGATTCCTACCACCTGCCAGAGGTCATAACAAGAGCCCTGGCCAGTAGAACTAGGAGACGGTGGGCTGCCCCCGAGCTGTGCTGTCCAGTGTGGCAGCCGCTGGCCACATGTGACTACTGAGCCCTTGAAGTGTGCCTAACGTGACTGAGGAACTGAGTTTTTAATTTCATTTAAATTTGGTTGGTTTGAAGTTCAGTTTAAAAGGCCATGTATGGCTACTGTATTGGACAGTGCCGGTACAGAACACTCATTTCATTCACCTGCCCTACAGAATGTTTTTGAGGGCCTACTATGTGCCGAGTGTTGTTCTAGAGGCTGGGGAAACATCAGGGAACAAAGCAGACAAAAAAGCCTGCTCTTAGGAGTGGAAGGAGAGAGAGAGAATTAACAGGAGGCCTAGTAAATAAGCAAATGAGAGTGTCTGTCAGGCAACAGAAGTGTAATGGGGAAGATGGAGCAGAGTAAGGGGCTGGGGGCTCAAGGTAAAGGTGGGGGAAGCCCTCAGTGTTAAACGGGACAGTCAGAGGAGGTGACGTTGGAGCAGAATTGAAAGAGGTGAGGCAGAGAGCATATGGACATCTGGAGAAAGAGCATCCAGGCAAGGGCAACAGGCAGTGCAAAGGCCCTGTGGCAGGAGCACCCTTGGCAACACCCTGAGGAACAGCAGGGAGGCCAGGTGACTGGTGCAGAGTGAGCAGGGTAAGTAGGAGGAGAGGACCTCGGAGGGGTGAGGGTCAGGTCACAAGGGGTCTGGGGGCCACGTCAGGACTTTGACTACGTGGGACAGGCCTCACTGGGGGCATTGAGCAGAGGAAGGACTTGGTCTGATCTGGGTTTTAACAGGATCCCTCTGGCTGCTTGTAGAGGAGAGGTGGGGGGAGGGGAGCAAGAGAGTTCATCCAGAGGCCAATGCAACCAAGAGTTTTGATCCCCACCCTGCCTCTGAGGGCTGTGGGAATGGATACTGGGGTTCCCTGCCTCAGAATCTCAGTCATGTTGAATGTGCCTCCTTTACTTGCTGATGGGGCAAAGCCATTGCCAATAAGACAGAGTGTCTCAGGGCAGCCAGGGGAGCCCCATGTTCTCAGCAGGGGCACAGGCAGTAGGGCAGCGACAGAGCCTGGCCCCCGGCCCCTGGCCTGTCTCAGAAGTTAACGAGAGGCTCCTGATTCTTGGAGCCCTCACTGAGCCACGCCAGCTCTATGGTAATCCTGCTCTAAAGAGCAGCCATGCGCCTTCCCCTGTTATCACTCAGGGCCGTGCATTCAGGGAAGGCCAGCGTCCGGCACCGAAACCAGAAGAGGGGATTCTACCACTTGTACCGGTATTTCCAGTACTTCTCTGTAATGGCTCTCTGATCCTGAGACTAGAAACAACAAATATAAAACAGATTCTTCCAGATCCATAGCACTCTGTCCCACTGAGTTTGAACACAGCCTCAGAATCCTTCTCAGAACTGGCACCCAGCAAATCCTCAGCGTTGGCACACAAGACACAATGTGTTTGCAAGGCCTCTAGAACCTGGCTCCTGGCTACTACCTTGGTGACCTCATTTGCTACCACTCTCCCTTTCCCTCACTCTGTTTCTGTCACACCGGCCTCCTCATGGCTCCTGCCTCAGGGCCATTGCACTGGCAGCTCCCTCTGTGGGAAAACTGCCCACAGACATCCGCATAGCTCCCTCACTTCCTTCAGACTTCCCATGAGCATTCAGAAGTAGCAAAACAACCCTCATGGGACTCTCATCTCTACCCCTAATTAACTATAGGAGGTAATTCAGTTAATACCTGTCTCTAAAATGGGGAGCATAATTCCGAAAGGTACTTCCCAGGGTTATCAAGAGCATTTATTGAAATAATGTGACAGTGCTGGCTTCAAATCTTGGCTAGGCACAAACATTCTCTCCATGAGACCTTGGGCAAA